AACGTGCATTAAGTCGCCCCCTGAGGACCACACAAAAAAAAGGATCTCTTAATAGATCAAATAAAATAAAATTATGATCATATGGAGACAGCATCTTGTGGCCTGATATTTTCACAGCATTTTACTTTGAACTACTACTTTTTCTGTTGAACTACAGGCTACATGTGCCATTCATGAAAACAAAAGTGAGGTACCCCAGCTTTAAGTGAGTAAGCTAGTGCAAATGAACTTCAGGGCAAGCTAGTAAAAGAATTATGTAAATATACTGTATACGGTCTAAACAAGGTTAAAGGAGAAAAGCCTCATTCAGCTATGAAGGAGTGACACCTGCTGTTTGAAAGGGGTCCTTCACTAGGGCTGCAGCTATGGATTATTTTTGTTATCAGGTATTAGATTTGTGATTTGGTTGAAAGAAAAAAGTTATGATTCATCTTTAAAACAAATAAAAGTGAAAATATATATATGAAAATATAATTTAATCGGCTCCAAAATACTTCATTTAAAAACTGCATTTATTGAGATCACACATATCTTCCTCAAGCACTGAGGACATACCATAGACTCAGTCACGCTGCGTATGGAGACACCTGCTGGGAGAAGTCACTTGATAGTTGGTAACTTGAGGGCCAGCCTCTCCTCTCTGCAACAGCCTCTGTTCATCAGCAATGAACAGACTACAGGTGAATTCTTAGACTTCACTTGTAGTCTGTTCATTGCTATTCACAATTTCCCTTTGTCTGTTTCACTGCGGAACGGTCGCCCCCGGCCTGAACTCGTGGGGAGAGTAATTAATATGCTTCTTTTATTAACTTTAACAAACACTAAGGAAGTTTGAGTAAATGAGCAATAGAACCAGTGATTAACTCATTCACTGCCCATGACGACAAAAGTCGTTCTATTGTATAGTGACGCTCACTGCCCAAGACGACTTAGACGACTTTTTTGTGTTATTACACGGGAGGCTGCAGTAATGTCTGGCGCACCTTGTGAATGACCCACAATACTGATATATAGTGCAAATGTACCTGTAATGATAAATCGCCACCAGTAGGATGCAGTATTGCACCACAGGAGAGGTCATAAGTCAGTGGAGAGAAGGAGGAGGAGTGTGGGGTCTTTGGAGAGCGTGCTGCTGTAGCAGAGCGATGATAGCGTAGCATTGAGACGGATCAGCGATCTAGTTTAGCGATAGTATAGCAAGAGTGATGGCGAAAAAGAATAGTTATAAGCAGTATACACTGCTTCAGGGATTGACTCGCGGATCAGTGAGTGAGGTCGAGAGGGGAGAGAGCGGAGACCCCGGTGGAGGTCCGTCTCTGCAGCCACATTTGCGCGGAGCAAGAGCCCCGAGCAGAGACACACCTTCCGCCTCTCGCAGCGTATCAGCTGCTGTTGTTACTGATGCCTCGGATTCGTTCAGCAAACCTGATCATGATTTATCGGACACACTCACAAACACTCACACGCACTCACTCACTCACTCACGCACACAGACACTCACTCGCACACTGACATTCACACACACAGACACTCACTCACACAGACACTCACTCGCACACTGACATTCACACACACACACACACACTCAAATTCACATGCTTCATTCTATTTTATACATCTATAGTTTTATTGATCTTTGTGTTGTTGTTGACGTTTTGAGGAGGCCAACATGAAGCTGCAGGGCTGCTTTGATGCCACAGACTGGTCTGTTTTTAACTCTGAGAATGTTGATGAATTCTGTGAGGCTGTGACAGGATACATACAATTTTGCATTAACTGTTGTGTCCCCTATAAAGTTATTAAAGAACACTCCGGCCAAAAACCTTGGATGAACACTGACGTAAAATTAAGAATTAATGAGCGGACACTGGCGTTTCAATCCGGTGATGAGGGTGCTTACAAGCTGTCCTGCTAAGCAGTGGAACGCTCTATAAAAGCTGCTAAGCGTTCCTATGGGGACAGGTTAGAGGGCTTCTTTGGCGAAGAGGACCCTCGACGCATGTGGAAGGGGATCAGTCTCATCACGTCCTGGAAACCAAGTGCAGGGAAAATTGCTGCTGGCCAAACTCTGCCAAACGAGCTCAACGACTTTTACTGCCGCTTTGAATCTGCTGATCCCCTGCCTTTTGTCTTCCCCGAATGTCAGGGTGCCTTCACAGTGACTCAGGAGGAAGTACGGCGGGTCTTGTCCAGGACCACAGCTCGGAAAGCCGCAGGCCCGGACTGCATTCCTCCCCGCGTCCTGAAACTGTGCTCAAAGCAACTTGCCCCTGTTTTAACGGACATATTTAACTTGTCACTCAGGAGCTGTACGGTGCCGGTGAGCTTTAAAAGGTCCACCATTATTCCAGTTCCTAAGAAGTCTCCAGTGACATGTCTCAATGACTACCGCCCTGTGGCCCTCACGTCTGTTCTTATGAAGACTTTTGAGCGGCTTGTGCTGGACTTCATTAAGAGCCAGATCCCTATGAGCGTTGACCCGCTCCAGTTTGCTACAGACAGAACAGGAGTGTGGAGGATGCCATCTCCTTTGCTCTGAACTCTGTCTACACTCATTTGGACACTAGTAAATCTGTCGCGAGAATGCTGTTCATTGATTATAGCTCTGTATTTAATTGTCTTGTCCCAAGCATATTGGTTGAAAAACTAATGTCCCTTGGTCTGAATGTTGCCATGTGTAAATGGATTTTTAGCTTTTTAACTGACAGATCTCAGAGAGTAAAAATCAATGACTGTTTTTCTGATGTTGTTTCTGTGAGCACTGGTTCTCCTCAGGGATGTATTTTGAGTCCTCTGCTTTTTTACTTTGTACACTCACGATTGTGTGTCCTCCTCTGACTCAAATTTGATCATCAAATATGCTGATGACACCACCATCATCGGTCTCATCAGTGACAATGATGATTCCTCTTATAGAGCAGAGATCGAACATGTTTTTCAGTGGAGTAAAGTAAACAATCTCCAGCTGAACACTGCAAAAACATGTGAACTTGTCTTTGACTTCAGTCATAGCAGTTCTCACACACTCCTGTTGTTATTGACAACTCCCAGGTGCAGATCGTAGAGGAGTGCAAGTTCCTGGGTTTAACTCTGTCTAACGACCTGAAATGGGTTAAAAACACTGACCGGGTTGTTAAGAAAGCTCGTCAGCGGCTCTTCTTTTTGCGGAAACTTAGAGAATTTACCACTAACTCTAAGATTCTGCTTAATTTTTATCGCTGCACCATTGAGAGTTTACTTGTTGGTTCTGTGTCTGTGTGGTTTGGAAACATCACAGATAAAGAAAAGAGAGCTTTAAACAAGGTGCTCCGCTCTGCAAAGAGGACCGTGGGTTGTGAGCTTCCTGTTCTGGAGGTTCTTTACAGATCCAGACTTTTAAACAAAGCTCTTAAAATCATCAATGACTCTTCTGGCCACCCTGGGAAAGCCATGTTCCAGCTTCTTCCCTCTGGCAGAAGATATCGGTCACTGAGATGCAAGACATCTCGCTATGCTAACAGCTTCTTCCCACAGGCTGTTAGGTGCCTAAACAGAGCATTTTAATTTCTGCTTTTACCTGCTTTTAAACTGCTTTTACCCCTTGTATTGTTTTGTTGATCGGTGCCACAGTGTCAGCTGTTTTTTTATTGTTTTATGTTCAGTGTATGTGTGTTTTGTATTGCATTGTGTCGTGCTTTTGTTCTGTCGGTGCACACGGAGTGCCTTTCTTGCGAACGTATTCCAATGTGGTTTTTTAACTGCACATGGCCAAATAAATGAATCTTGAATCTATCTTGTTTTGGTTGATGGTATAGAAGAAAGTTACATTTTCTATCTGTGAATAAATTGCCAACAATTTGCCATCAAAAGTATTATTTCAGAGTCATGTTTTTATAATTTTTGTAATGGAACAAGTGTGAAGATGTTTTGAGTTGTCACTAAAGCAGCAAAAATGCATCTAAAAGTCTCTTTTCTGCTTGATATGTTCCTGTTTACATACAGCTCGTTTTCTCTGTTTTCTTGCTCAGACCAGGTGTTGTGGGCGAAAGTATGCTTTGTTCTATGGCGAATAACTCAAGAACGGTAAGAGGTAGAAACAAACTGTTTTTTTTTTCAGAGTAAAGCAGAGAGGTTAATCTTTAATTTGGTGCCCTTGGTGTTTACATCGTCTAAAAAATGAATATTCTGTGGCACTTCAAAGTTGGGTCAAATCACCTGAAATTGCTGGCAGAATGCACTTCTCAAATTTGAAAATGCCTGGCAGTCAGTGAGTTAAACTGCATTTGCATCATACTTTACCTCACTGTACTGCTGTCACCTTACATTGTGTGCACCATGTGCACTGTATATTGTATATAGTAATTGTAAATGTATTTACTCTATTTGAAATTTAATTTTAAATTTTAAATTTAAATGTATTTCTTAGAAGTGTTTTTTATTCTCTATTTTTTATTATGCCTCTCTACCCTTACTTCTGATTCTGACTCTTGCACCGAGCCAAATCAATTTCCAAGTCTGTGACCTCCTGTTACTTAAGTGGCAATAAAAATGATTCTGATTCTGATAAATACTGAGACCGAGCTGGTGCCATTCCCAGTTGTCTGAGTCTGCAGCACATCCAATAAGACGCCCATCAGTTGTAACCGGCATGCACTGTAAATATTAACATATGTAGCGGATCTCCGTTGTTCAAACTAATGTGCCACCATTTTTGCCTTCTGTGGGCTTTTTCAAAATGGCCGCGGGGGCAGGAAAATGTTAAAAACGCCCCAGAGGCTAAACTAGACTGGTTCTAAAAATGAAAATACCCCTCTCAACATCTGGTCCAAAAGCGAACTTTTGGACCATCCTGTAAAGAGGTTCTTGCGAGAAGAAGACGTCATACAGCATTGGGTAATTCTTATTCCGGTTACACTCCCACCGGCCCAGAGTGGTATTGCAAGCATGTCAGCGCACATGCTCATGGACCTTTTGGAGCAAGGACCCGCCCCCAATGGTTGCAACAGATGACAGAGCATTACCTGAGCTGCGTCTTGAGCTCGTTGAAGCGTGGCCTCTTGCTCGGGTCGTAGCTCCAGCACTTGGTCATGAGGCTGTAGAGCGTGGGGGGGCACTGTGGGGGCATGGCCAGCCGCTCGCCGTTCTCTATCCTCCCGATGACATCGTTGTTCTTCACGCCCTGGAACGGCTTCACTCCGAACATGAGGATCTCCCACATGCACACGCCTGACACACACACAGGTGTAAACAGCGGATCTAACACATGCACACGCCTGACACACACACAGGTGTAAACAGAGGATCTAACACATGCACACGCCTGACACACACACAGGTGTAAGCAGAGGATCTAACACATGCACACGCCTGATACACACACAGGTGTAAACAGAGGATCTAACACATGCACACGCCTGACACACACACAGGTGTAAACAGAGGATCTAACACATGCACACGCCTGATACACACACAGGTGTAAACAGAGGATCTAACACATGCACACGCCTGACACACACAAAGGTGTAAGCAGAGGATCTAACACATGCACATGCCTGACACACACACAGGTGTAAACAGAGGATCTAACACATGCACACGCCTGACACACACACAGGTGTAAACAGAGGATCTAACACATGCACACGCCTGATACACACACAGGTGTAAACAGAGGATCTAACACATGCACACGCCTGACACACACAAAGGTGTAAGCAGAGGATCTAACACATGCACACGCCTGACACACACACAGGTGTAAACAGAGGATCTAACACATGCACACGCCTGATACACACACAGGTGAAAGCAGAGGATCTAACACATGCACACGCCTGACACACACACAGGTGTAAACATTGTGTGTGCATTGGTGTAATAACTCAAAGAACATGAAGGCAGAGGAGGAGACTGCGGTGTTTCTTTCATCGGTGGCAATGGCAACACCAAAACTATAAAATACATTTGTAAACCTGCCGACTCTCACTTGCTCTAACTTTCTTAAATTCCTGTTTATTGCATCCACATGCTTTCTGTGATATTGGAGATAGGATTATCATCTGGATTCTAATCTGAAAGCTGGAGCAACTTTTCAAACCACAAACAACTATAATATAATATAATCCTATGAGCTGCGAGTGTATCAGCTCAGTTCTATGGTTGCTTTGAGTTAGCTTCCTGTTTGAGTAAGCCTTTTCTTACCAAACATCCAGACGTCGCTGGCCGTGGTGAATCTCCTAAAGTTGATGGACTCTGGGGCCATCCACTTGATCGGGAGTTTCCCTTTAGAGGCTGAGGAGGAGACAAAAGGAGAATCCAAACATATGGTATAGTATATACTGTAAGTTACCTTCATAATGTAAAAAAAAAAATCGATATCGATACTTGGCAAATGCATATCGATAATCGAATCGCGGGAGAAAGTATCGTCACACCCCTAGTTCCCAGGTACACAAAAAACACACGTGTGTTCTCACCTTTGTAATAAGAGCTGTCCTCCATGTATCTGGACAAACCAAAGTCCCCCAGCTTCACACAGTCTGCAGTGGACACCAGGACGTTACGAGCTGCGATGTCCCTGAGATCACATCAACACATTAAACACTCACAATCTCTCTACTGAAGTGGCGCCACCTGCAGGTGAAAGCCAGATACGGTCAGATCTTTGAAGCAAAGCAGGGCAGAGCCTAGTTAGTACTGTGATGGGAGACCTCTTGGAACACCATACAGTGGGGTAGATGCAAAGTGACCGACTACCATTGTGTCCTTTGACAAGACACGTCACCCACATCGCCTCACATATGTCTGGTGTGTGAATGGTTGGTGGTGGTCAGAAGGGCTGATGGCACATACTGGTAGCCTCGCTTTAATCAGGGGTAACTGTGGCTACAGTAGTTATCCAGATTGTGTATCGAGTGAATGAATGCTGCCATGTGAAGCGTCTTTGTGAGTCCAAATAAAACTCTGAATAAAACAGATGCATTATTAAAGCCATTTCAAACCAAAACAGTTCCAGTCCTTCAATCACTAATTTTCACATGCATGTGTTTTTGGACTTAAGATCAGCTTTTCTGATATGAATGTAATTAAATTGAATTGAGAGGACACGTTCCCCACAGAAACAGTTTAAGTATAACTTCATTAAAGTAACTCTAAAGTTTGGTTTCACTTGTGGATAAAGTGTGTTCTAAATGTTGTGTATTTCTTGTACTTTCTTCGTCCTTAATGAGCACAAAGTTTTAACTGTCTGGAATGAAATGTGCTATGTAAATAAATATGCTTGTTCCTGCCTACCTGTGCACAAAGCGCTTGCTCTCCAGATAGGCCAGAGCCGTGCTGAGCTGGTACGAGTAGAGGATCAGCGAGGCCAGGTCCAGACTGTACTTCCGGACCTGCAGGAAGGACCGCAGCTGAGGGCACAGGACAAGACACATGAGACACCAGAGGGAAAGCAGGGTCCTATTTATTGATATTGAACATGACTCATGTAAACCTGGGGTGCTGTGTATGAGGTGTGAAACTGGATGGAACTATTTCTACTGTTTTTACGCTGTATGTCACCACAGAAACCAAATATTACTAAGATCAGGCTAAAAGATGCATTTAAAATCACAGGGAAACGTCATCCTTGTATGAGAAATTATTATTTGATTATTTATACATCTATAACCTGGTCCTGAGAATAATACCTGGTCCTGACACTAAAGCAGTCTAGGGCAAAGTGTGGCCCGAGAGCCACTTTTGGCCCTTGCCTTGTACTATCATGGCCTGTTACACACACAAAATGTTATTATTAATAATTTGGTCCAAACAAAATGTCCACAAAGAAAACTCTGGAAATACTGTATGTGTTACATAAAGATCCTTTTTTGGCTTAATATAACTAAACATGAACCCCATGAAAGCCTGGTCCTGAGACAAAAGCCTGGTCCTGATCCTAGGTCCTGGTCCCTGATGAGACCACGTGACTGACCTCCCCCAGAGTACACAGCTCCATGATGATCCACACTGGGTTGTCGGTGATGACCCCCATCAGCTTCACGATGTGCGGGTGATCGAACTGCCGCATCGTCACTGGAACGACACGCTTAAAGTTTAGTCATCAAGACAGAGAACTACACATTGTTAATGAGATAGTGTAGTGCAATACTGATACAGCATAGGTGTGCAATAATTGTAATAATAAGTTGTGCCATTGAGCGTCAAACTTGTACAGTGGCTGAAAAAAATAAAATAAAAACAGAAATCTGGGATTGAGGTGTGAAAAAACGTTTGTTTGGTGTAACTGACCGAACCAATTCTACTGTGGTAACGCTGCATGTAACCACGGAATCTGGATATTACCGACAGGCCAGCAGATGCATTTAAGAGCACAGGGAAAAGCCATCCTGATAATAAAACATATTTGTTTGAAGCTGGTCTTAAGACTAAAGCCTGGTCATGAGACCAAACTCCTGGTCCTCCACAATATTCTAGGGCTCCATAGTTTGTTGAAAAAACATTGTTATTGAGATAGTGACAAGTGCAATACTGACACAGCATAGGTGTGCAATAATTGTAAGTATAAAATGTGTATAAAATGCCGCTAGAACGACGGAAAGAACAAAACAACATACTTGTTCCGAAAATACTTCAGTTTCAACTTGCATATTGATTTCTTTAGCAAAACATAATATCGCAATATGTTTTATATCGCCGACCATGACACGATTATTGTTCATTTCAGCCATACAAAAAACTGTATGTACTGTATATATTTAAAACTATAAAATAGGAGTGGAATGTTCCAGCTCAATAGAATGTAGAGTCAACCATGGTGGAGTAACCCGAGGGACCGTAGTTAGGTAAAATGTTTTATCAGACTGACGAGGTCGAAACGCTCACACCGAGCTTACTTCTGCTCTGAAAATACACATGGACGCTGAACCCTGAATGTGAGCTTCCCACCCTGCCTTCACTATCAACATTATGAAGACAAGAGAGAAAGACCAGAGTGAGAATCCAGTGAGAGAGACTAGGAGACCGAGACCAGAGAGAGACAGTAGAGAGAGAGACCAGAGAGAGGGAATAGAGAAACCAGAGATAGAGATTAAGAGAGAGAGACTAGAGAGAGAGACTAGAGATAGAGACTAGAGAGAGAGACTAGAGAGAGACTAGAGAGAGAGACTAGAGAGAGAGACAGTAGAGAGAGAGACCAGAGAGAGGGAATAGAGAAACCAGAGATAGAGACTAGAGAGAGAGACTAGAGAGAGACTAGAGAGAGACTAGAGAGAGACTAGAGAGAGAGACTAGAGAGAGAGACTAGAAATAGAGACTAGAGATAGAGACTAGAGAGAGAGACTAGCGAGAGACTAGAGATAGAGACTAGAGAGAGAGACTAGAGATAGAGACTAGTAAGTAAGTAAGTAAGTAATCTTTATTCATATACCGCCTTTTCACTGCACATCGGAGTCTCAAAGCGGTTTACAATTGTGATTTTTGGGAGCAGGGGTCGCCAGTACAGGAGGCACATGCCAGACCTATTGTACATATTTTTAGTGGTAGGGGAAACCGGAGCACCCGGAGGAAACCTACGCAGACACGGGGAGAACATGCAAACTCCACTCAGAAAGGCTCTGGTCCAACCGGGATTCGAACCCAGGACCTTCTTTCTGAGAGGCGAGAGTGCTATCCACTCAGCCACCGTGCCGCCCTTATAACTAGAGACTAGAGAGAGACTAGACAGAGAGACTAGAGAGAGACTAGAGATAGAGACTAGAGAGAGAGACTAGAGAGAGAGACTAGAGAGAGACTAGAGAGAGACTAGAGAGAGACTAGAGAGAGAGACTAGAGAGAGAGACTAGAAATAGAGACTAGAGATAGAGACTAGAGAGAGAGACTAGCGAGAGACTAGAGATAGAGACTAGAGAGAGAGACTAGAGATAGAGACTAGTAAGTAAGTAAGTAAGTAATCTTTATTCATATACCGCCTTTTCACTGCACATCGGAGTCTCAAAGCGGTTTACAATTGTGATTTTTGGGAGCAGGGGTCGCCAGTACAGGAGGCACATGCCAGACCTATTGTACATATTTTTAGTGGTAGGGGAAACCGGAGCACCCGGAGGAAACCTACGCAGACACGGGGAGAACATGCAAACTCCACTCAGAAAGGCTCTGGTCCAACCGGGATTCGAACCCAGGACCTTCTTTCTGAGAGGCGAGAGTGCTATCCACTCAGCCACCGTGCCGCCCTTATAACTAGAGACTAGAGAGAGACTAGACAGAGAGACTAGAGAGAGACTAGAGATAGAGACTAGAGAGAGAGACTAGAGATAGAGACTAGAGAGAGAGACTAGAGATAGAGACTAGAGAGAGAGACTAGAGATAGAGACTAGAGAGAGAGACTAGAGATAGAGACTAGAGAGAGAGACTAGAGAGAGAGACTAGAGAGAGAGACTAGAGATAGAGACTAGAGAGAGAGACTAGAGAGAGAGACTAGAGATAGAGACTAGAGAGAGAGACTAGAGATAGAGACTAGAGAGAGAGACTAGAGAGAGAGACTAGAGAGAGAGACTAGAGATAGAGACTAGAGAGAGAGACTAGAGAGAGAGACTAGAGAGAGAGACTAGAGAGAGAGACTAGAGAGAGAAACCAGAGATAGAGACTAGAGAGAGAGACTAGAGATAGAGACTAGAGAGAGAGACTAGAGAGAGAGACTAGAGAGAGAGACTAGAGAGAGAGACTAGAGAGAGAGACTAGAGAGAGAGACTAGAGATAGAGACTAGAGAGAGAGACTAGAGAGACGCAATCCAATGAAGTCCATTTATTGAACAAAAAACATACATTACAGTCTTGTTCAGTGGCAGCAGCAGGTAGACAATATGTCTGCTCTCACACCTGAACTAAATGTTTAAGTAATGGTGAATAGCTGATCTACCCGTTTTTTTAAACTAAATTAATTAATTTGAACATCCTGAATGTATTTTACTTTTACAGGTTTGTAAAATTGTGAAATTTACAGAAACATAATATAATTTTAGAATTATTCCTTTAAACTCGAGATTTTAAACCTTCGCTTTTTAACTTTCTAACCTTTTCTAACACATGGGCTGTTTGACTTTTTAACAAACAAAGTATTTAATACTCTTTAACTTAAACACTTTTTAGCTTTGGCTCTCACAGCTTTTATGACAGAATTTAAATATTTTTGATTTACTTACACGCCTCTTGAAGAAACTTTTCTCGAACACTGTCGGACGTGGAGTTTTTACACGTCTTCACCGCCACAGATAATGCTGGGTTTTCCTGCACGTAGACAACGCATCATTGTGAATAAATAATCTTAAAAACAAGAGAAATCCGTAATCAATCTTGCCCTTACTGGACTGATGTAGATTCCCTGGTGCACGTCTCCGAACTGGCCCTCTCCGATGCAGCGGCCCAGCTCGATCCGGTCGCGCTGGATCTCATAGTCTCTCGCTTAAAACGACAAATGTGTAAAAACTGTGAGCTTTGAGACTGACACCAACTTATGATCAAGTCAAACTCAGGCTCTATGTGCAAACAAACTTGTCAGAGAAGGTTCACGCTACAACAAGCAATTTCTCATTAGCAAAGAAAGGTAAAAAACAGGTAGCTTTATTGTGTCTAAATCAAAGCTTTGGTTGTCGCTTGGTCTAAAAGGAGCAGAATAGATCTGCTTTCTATCTCCCATTGGTTTATGATTTTACATGTACAGCCTAAATCTGGTCAAATCACAATTATACATTTGTAATTCATGTCATTTTTGTCATAAATCATCGGAAATGTCTTCAAACTAGTGGAATATTCTCGGACTTTTTGACAGTTCTTTTCAATAGTGTTGAATTCCAAGTTTGAAATGGAAGTTTTAAGATCATTCTCTGACAAGCTGATTTATACAGAGAGAAAACAACAGGTCAGGGTCATGCATCACATCAGCAAACACCTCACTTATCAACACATGAGCTCCATGGATAAAGTCGGGCTGAGACACAAACGCATTCATTATCGTTCTGAAGTTCTGTTTGTGCTTCGTGTCGAATGAGCCGACTTTGTCCAAGTGGATGTGGATGAAAAAGCTCTTCATGGCGATGGGAATACCGACGAACGGTTGTCGACGGTTGTCGAACCACTTCCTCCCTCACAGCTGGTATCTCGCTTGTACGCAAACGCACGCCATTCACCAAGTCACTGTCTCTGGTTCAGGAGTGGGAATTATCAAAAATGTGACCATTCATTGTGATTCTTAATATATTGCGGTTGATTCTGCGATAGATTGTGATTCATGTCCCTCAGATTATTCAAAGGCATTACAAAAAAACGCAGTAAAACAAAGACTCAAAGGTTACATTTATCATGATCTGCAAATTAACTGAAGCAAACACATAGCAGGGCAGTGCAAAACCGTTATCCTTGAACATTCAGGACACAGACAAGACATCATTATTCCTAACCCTAAATCCTAGAAAAGCCCTGTTCCAGCTTCTTCCCTCAGGCAGAAGATATCGTTCGTTGAGATGCAGGACGTCTCGTTTTGCTAACAGCTTTTTTCCACAAGCCGAGTTTGAACAAAGCACTTTAACCGTTCTTCCGTTTCACAGCAAAAATTATTTCTTGTACTATTTTAGCTTGTTTTATTCATGTACATGTCTAGTGCTGAATCTGGAGAGGAAGAGTCGACGCAGGGTTCTGGTTGATATTCACTTTTTTTTTTTAACGCAGTGGGAACGACAAAAACAATAGGCTCAAGCTTTAAGTAGTCGAGCTTTTTCATCAGACATCCACAGGGGGGCGACACAAAGCATTCAGTTCAAGGTGAAATGAGGGAACGTCAGAACAGAAGAGTCCAGCCTTTACCTTGCTCCAGTCCATAGTACTCTGGAAAAGGGGTTAGTGACAGGAGACACACATAACTCACTGTAAGTACACACATGTTGGCCTCATGTAAACATCGCATTGTAACGTAGCATGAAGGGGACTGCGCAAAAAGCAATACAGGTTACACAAGAGCTTTACGTTACTAGAATAGATCTATGGGGATTTTTACTGTTAAGACAAAACAAAGACAATGTTATAATGTTATAAATGTTTCGCTATAGAAAACCCTGCACCCCATTTTGAGTCATTTCATAGTATCACAGCCAATTGTATATCTACATGTGGGTATAATTCATTCTGTACCTTCTGTACAAGAAACATCATTTTAAACTATATTCTTTTATCCAAAATACGCTATTGAGATACATTTACCAACACGCTCAGAATAGCTTATAGTGATTGTCTGGAGTTTGTCAGAAAGAGAGACAGAGAGGTACTTGATTTGAAAAAAACGACGCAAGCTCCCTCCCCCTTCCTTTCTGATTGGTCTACGCCTACATTTTCGCAACACTTTTAAATGTTCAGAGAACACATTATACATATACATTAGGTTTTCAGGATTATTTGTTAACGTTTAAATGAAAAAAATTATGTTTTATGCACACAAAAAACGATCGCGGCAAATCCGGAACAAGCTATTATCATGAACTGCACATTATAGGACACATCTGCAGAGGATCTGATTATGGATATAGGTTCATATATAAATGATTATGGATATAGGTTCAGTATATAAATGATTATGGATATAGGTTCAGTATATAAATGATTATGGATATAGGTTCAGTATATAAATGATTATGGATATAGGTTCAGTATATAAATGATTATGGATATAGGTTCAGTATATAAATGATTATGGATATAGGTTCAGTATATAAATGATTATGGATATAGGTTCAGTATATAAATGATTATGGATATAGGTTCAGTATATACATAAGTACCTCAGCACGGATGTTCAGAATTCTTTCAGGTAGTTTCAGAGCCTAATAAAGGCTTGATTCGGAGGCTCCATGAAAACAAACAACTGAGCATGAGCAGCTGCGAGCATCAGCGCCGATGATTGACAGCCCTTGGCATGACTCGATTGGTTAACGTGGACGGCATCGTGTATTCTGAGCTATAGCTAAGAAAAGGGAAGGCGGGACTTACCCGTAATATTGAATTAATAAAATGACTTTATCTTAAAAGGTTTATCTTATCTTATCTTATATCAACATTTAAGGCCAGGAGGTCAATTTAACACATTTTCTAAAATTTGTAATTCATTTAGAGTTACAGACTATCACTTTAACTCTAGTTTTCCATGAGTGTCTATAATTATGATGAGCATCTCTAAAAGGAAGCAAAAAAAGTGCCTTGATCTAGAACTACTTTAAAATCAATGTGTATCTCAGTGCGGGGAACTGCACTTTGGAACGGAAATCAAGGTTTTAAAACATGATTACATTTAAAAACTGTATAAAAACTTACGAAGTATGATGAGTTGAGCGAGTACTGGGAGACGTGTGTAGGGTCAGAGAGTGTTAATGTGGGGTATGCGTGTAACCATAGTACATATCAACATTAGTGCGGGCGTCACATAGTGTTGGTTTAAAGCGGAAGAGGTCGATTAGAGTTAACTCAAACAGGCTACTTGCAACTAAAGCTGAAATTGAAGGCTCCTGATTGGTCAGTTGTTTGGGCTAATATCAAATCCTAAACCATAGTTTTTCTTAATCCCAAAATTGTGAGTGTGACAAAAGTTAAACTAGGAGCATTACTTTTCAATGTAAGTTGATAGGAGCCAGAGCGAGTCAAAGAAAAACTTCAACATGGGCACTTCCCTATTGAGCTGCATTGAGCTAGCGGGTTAGAATTGAAGAAGTGGGACATGGTGGAATTACAAAGAAAGTAGCTCAGACCAGAAGCTGTTTCTTTGCATTTTAGCGTGTTGAGTGATTTTATTTTATTTTAGTATAGACTTATTGTTCACTTATCTTGTGCTGTGTGCTCCTCATTCCTACTGTTCTGTAACACTGGCATTATCCCCCTTGTGGGATGAATAAAGGATCTTTTAATCTTAATCTTAAAACAGGGTTCAGGGCCTCTCTGGTTCACAGAAGCAGTGGAAGGAGTCTCACTTGAAGGCATGGTGTAGGTGTCCTCTTCGTCGATGATCTCGGCGTAATCGTCCGTCTCTGGAACAAGACAAAGAACCAGAGTTAGAAAGAAGTGAAGAAGTGACAATCCAAAAACCATGCATCAATACGACAAGCAGCTGCCGGACAGAGCCACACATGGTTTAACCGGTCACACTCCCGAGGGCCAAGCAGCGTCCAGGCCACTTACAATGAGAGGCCCAAACGACAGGGCTACAGACCATTCTCTATCACAGACTGTTCACACTTATAATGAGAGTCAGTGAGGCCAAAGCTACAGGGCCTCAGCAGTGTAAGGGGTTAAAGCAGCAGATGGAGGAGGGGCATGTTCAGGGAGAGACACACACTGCAAAAACTGCACATCTGCTGAAATGACCTGAATTCAGGGTCCAGAGGTTCTGCTCGCAACCAAGAAAGAGTGATCCGTTTGGGACTGAGGATATTTCACTGGTTTGAAGACTTTAGGTCAGACAAAACTGGAGCAGAGACCGGTGTGAGCGCAGCGTAGAATAGAGTATGTTTTGTTTATTTGACCTGCACTGGGACTGAAAAAACAGCACAGCTATTGCCACTTTTATTGTACATAATATATTCTCCAGAGATTAGATACATTTACCTTAACATGTTGCACACTTCTGTCTTTTGCACAATTTGAGAGATTCTATGCCAAATGTAACATGTACATTTCTCCATTGTGAGATCAATACATTTTATCTTAAACTTATCTTATTTGTGTACTCTTGTAAATTCTTACTGCTACTACCATATTTTATTTATCAATGTATGTATTTAATATGGACATAACACTAACATTGGATGAACCAGATGCATTGTTGTAAGTGTTGTTGTGCATGTGCTGCTACAGTATTTGCAGATGAACAAAATTTCACCTTAGAAATTGCCAAGAAAAATGTGGAAGTAATACTTTTGTTTTAAAGGGCAGTACAGAGTTACAGTATCATAGAGTAGCTAGTTTGAGACAGGAGCATTTGGATCAAAGCTTTTATAGAAATAGGAACACTGGTTTGTCAGACCTGGAGCCGACGCTACGATTGTGAAACGTGCAGACTGGATTCAGGCTGTTTTGACCTTTAAAATGAGGTATGAAAATAACGTTGGGCAGAGTAGAAGACGGTTACATTACTTTCTCACCAGCTACATTCGAACCATACACAAATACATTATATTATAGTCGAACCAAAGACAACGAGAGAACTCAAGAGGTTCTTAGCTTTACAATCAGTTTATGTAACCTGGTTAAAACGTACATAATACATCATTATTATTTTCCCTGTACGCAGAGAGGAGTGGGGCAGGTCTATGAGGAAGGAACTGTAGGTTTGTCGCTGTACTGTCATTTTTGTTTTGCTTGAAATTAATCTTGAATTAATGCAGCTAATAAGACACGCCTCTGTTTGAGTCACTCTAAGCTAGCCTAGCCGTTAGCTTAGAGTTAGCTCGAGTTAGCTTAAGACCCATTGGGTTGATTGTAGACATTCATACTCCGTTTACATACTTTATATGCATTTTAGAGCTTGAATATTTAGAGCTGTTTTGTAGTGTAAACTGGTGGAGCTGAAGTTGGCCGGATAACAATGGGAACTTGTGTTTATGATCGAAATGGTTTTGTGGCAGAGGGCCATGTTTGGATGTATGCAGAAGGGACCGGGGGAACAGTTGTGGATGCGGAACAGTGTTGTTAAAAAGTCAAAGAAATCCTGAATTCAACTCATTTGGAATCACACAGAAACATGTTTTTTGTAGTGCACTGCCACAAGAATGAAATGTGCAGATGAAATGCTTGTTACCGTCTCCACTATTGTGACCTGAAGCAGCACACGACAGGAGAGAGAGGAGGTTAGTCCAAACACAAACACATATCTTTTCTGCTTTAGCAAAAAGGAGTCACTATCGGGAGATGTGGCCATTTAAAACCATACGTTTACAAAGCACTAATGAAACCTCTCCAGTTTAACTATATAAACATGACTCAAGTAAACCTGTGTATGTCAAACTCAAGCCCATGGGCCAAATCCGGCCCGCTGACACACTCTGGCCATCTATCAGCAGTTAGAACATTTGGTACCAGCTCGAACCAGGACCAAATGGGGCCAAAGGAGCACCTGGTACAGGTTAAACAGGGCCAGCGGAAACTCGGCTCTACCTCGATTAGAGTAGAGTAGGGCCAAGTAGAACTGGTGGAAATGGGGCTTAAGTGTCCTATATTTACTTTTCCTTTGTAAAGTGAGAGAGAATGATTTAGAACTGTTCAGATTCGTACCAGAGACGCACACAGCTCTGGTCCGAACTCCGTCCATCCGCTTCTCCATCCGCCTCTCGTGATTAGACACCCTGAGAAGAGAAAAGAGCTGGTTTCTGCTGATTCTGCACAGATGTGGTGTATGAGGAGGCAAGTAACCAAGAATACATACTTAATAATACTTATAATAATAATAATAAATAATTGTTTTCTAAAGCGCTTCTCTGGACACCCAAAAACACTTCACATGTATTATTCTTTCACTCCATACACGGTGGTGATAAACTACTACTGTAGCCACAGCTGCCCTGGGGCATACTGTTTGGCCATATACTGGGGGACTGAATGTAAATCTGGGGTGCCTGACTTTGTTGTTTCATAAATAAGGCATGTTGTTTGTGCAACAGAAAGAGTCTTGTAAAGGTAAAATGTCCAAATCAGACCCCAACATACTGACCTCATCTTAATTCATTCTTTTGTGTAAGAAAGAGTCCTGTGGGTCACTATTTGAGGCTGAAAGCTGATTGGCCGAGTGAGGGTGGTCTTCTCGTTTTCTTTTTCTTTTGCGTTTGACAAATCTAATCTAAGGATGTGACAGAGGCCAGATGTGAGAGAAACGTGAAAAAGACTCAGAGATGAAGACTCGTTCTTTCTACAAGTTGTATTTTCAATGTTTTTACTCAGTTCTTCAACTACCTCTACTTCTTTAGAAAACATGAAATACATGAAGGGCGGCTACTTACTTTGGAAGTGATGGAAGAGCCCGGTCTCCATCTGTAAGAAAAACAGACAAAAACATATTCATTATTCACAAGTTTTCTTCAGGTTCACTCTTTTCAGCGTCTCTTCCTAAAACAAAGAGAGCAAAGAGACCAGAGAGGGACCGGAGAAACAGAGAGACCAGAGATGGACTGGAGAACGACCAGAGATGGACTGGAGAAAGACCAGAGAAACTTAAGAGAGACTAGACAGGGACCAGAGATGGACCAGAGAGACCAGAGACACCATTGAGGGATCAGAAAGACCAGAGAGAAATAGAGATGAGAGAGGGACCAGAGAGAGAGCAGTGAAACTGGAGGGACTAGAGACCAGAGGGAGAGAAGAGACTAGAGAGAAAGACCATAGAAACCGGAGAGACTAGAGCGAGAACATGGAGAGTACAGAGAGTGAGACCGGAAACACACTGTAGTAAGACCAGGGTTTAGACCAGAAACCAAACCAAACCAAACCAAACCAAACCAATGAAACACATGTAGAGGTACTGTGTTCTTCATAACAATGATCAAATTGAGGGAGTGACCTATATGCGTCCAAATACACACATTTCTACTCTCAGCATGGCTTTTCCCTGTGCTCTTAAAGGCATCTGCTGGCCTTGGTTGGTAGTATCTGGTTTCCGTGGTTACATGCAGCGTAAGCACAGCAGAAATGGTTCACTGCTCAACCACAGCACGAGCTTACATGAGTCTTATTCAGTATAATTAAAGCGCCGTAAAGATGGCGCCGTGGCAAGAGCTCTGGTGTGTGTCGTCTGGTGCACACCGGGGTAGTCTTGCACAGTTTTTCCTATGTGGTTTTACTACAAATGGCAAATAAATGAATCTGAATCTGAAATCTGAAATCGGACTAGGAGAGAGCGCTCCAGTGCTTTGGATGATGACGAGGCTCACCTTTGTGCACTCTGATGATGAAGGAGTGGCAGACGGAGGACAGCAGTCTGCAGTATCCGTCGATGAGGTCGGCCATGTTCTCAGCCGTGGTGAGAGAGGCCGTGGTGACGGTCAGCGGCTGGAGAAGATTGAGATTAAGATTTAGAGATCCTTTATTTGTCCCACAGTGGAGAAATGTTGAAGAAATGTCAGTGTTGCATCACCGGTTACAGAACAGTAGGAATAAGGAGCACACAGCACAAGATAAGTTTTTAATTTTGTATAATCTAGTGCAAGAGATATATGTAGTTGTAAGTATACATCTAAAGTAAAGAAAGTGAAGTGACAGTGGACATATGTGGTTTTCTTAACCCTTGTATTATGTTGAAAAAAAATGACATTGATTATGTTGCGGGTCATTTTGACCCGTACTGTGTAAATGCACTCAAAACAGTCAAGAAAACAGAATAAACCAATAACAACTTTATTTTAGGTTATATAAATATTTAGAAAAGTGACATACAATGCATTTTGAATTCCAACGCTTTATTTAAGAAATATTTAGTCTAATCTTCTTCTCCTCTCGGGTCAAAATGACAATTCTTTCCTCCTGCCATGCTTTCTCCTTCCCTTTTCTCATCCTGTTTTCCTTCTCTCTGTTCATCCTCATCTATTCCCTTCTTTGCTCTTCCTTCCTGTCTCCCTTCTTTCCTTCTTACCTTCCTTCCTTCCTTCCTCCCTTCCTCTTTCCTTGACCAAAGATTCGTCCTCTGAATCCTCCTTATTGTAGGAAAATTGATAAACTGGATCAGCAATAACATTGTCCTCTGTCTCTGAAAAATCTTCTGTTTCTGAAATCTCTTCCTCTACATCACTATCCCAGTTAAAAATCTGTGAAAAAGCCTCCTCATACGGAAGCTTGTTAGGTTCACTTGTGAGTGTGTTTTTTTTCCGCTGGTATCATGTTATTTCATGATACTTTCATGAAATAACATGATAAATATCATGTTATTTCATGATACGCAACTATCATGTTATTTCATGATACACAACTATCATGTTATTTCATGATACCAATTTATCATGTTATTTCATGATACGCAACTATCATGTTATTTCATGATACACAACTACCTTGTTATTTCATGATACCAATTTATCATGTTATTTCATCATACCAATTTATCATGTTATTTCATGATACTTTCATGAAATAACATGATACACAACTACCTTGTTATTTCATGATACACAACTATCATGTTATTTCATGATACCTATTTAGCAGAAGCTGACAGCTTCTTCTTCTTCTGTATCTACAGTATCATGTTATTTCATGATAAACTGGTATCATGAAATAACATGATAAATTGGTATCATGAAATAACATGATAGTTGTGTATCATGAAATAACATGATAGTTGTGTATCATGAAATAACATGATAGTTGTGTATCATGAAATAACATGATAGTTGTGTATCATGAAATAACATGATAGTTGTGTATCATGAAATAACAAGGTAGTTGTGTATCATGAAATAACATGATATTTATCATGTTATTTCATGAAAGTATCATGAAATAACATGATACCAGCGGGGAAAAAACACACTCACAAGTGAACCTAACAAGCTTCCGTATCCTCAGATGTCATCCTTCTGGAGCTCATTTTTGGTGAGTTTGTCTAAAGCCTAGCGCACATCGACAGAGTAACTGGAGACAACTAGTTGCAAGGCGGCTTTTGGCGACTGAGAGTAGATGATCAGTTGCCGAAATTGGTCAATGTGAGCGCTCTTACAACTGGAGATAAACAGTCGATCCCCGGATTCAGTCAGTTGCCCGTGTTCTACTTTTCGGCAACTAGTTGTCCTCAGATCCAGAGGTATCACCCGATGTGCGCGCTCCAACAAAATTTGTGTATTGCGTGTATTGCGCTCTACAGTTTATGTCAGAAAACACACTGTAGTTGAGGCCAGTTGCTGTCGATGTACGCGCTGTTATTCCCGAGACTGGCCTGCTACTGGGAGTTTCCCGTTTTCGCCAGATTGTCGATGTGTGCGGGGCAGCAACTCAAAGGCGACGGATATAATGAGTTGCCAGTCCGATGTACGCTAGGCAAAAGAGATGACATGAGAACAGTGACAAGGACAAGTGTGAGAAAGTTCCCTCTCTTCACACACCTGGCTCTGGGTCTCAGAGGCAATCAAAATACAATGTCAAAGAGACATGTTTTTTTGGATCTGAACAACAATTTACCCACATTGAAGCGTCTGGGTCAAAATGACCCGCAACATCATCTTTGTATACAAACTCTGCACAGACATTCCACTACATATCAAAGTTTCCACATTTTACACACCAGTTCATGACCCTAGATGAGGAAAAGTCACCAAATTTCAGCAAGAAAAAGAAAGGATAACCAGTACTTTGATCAACTCAAAAACTGAAATGTCAAATTGACCCTTAACATAATACAAGGGTTAAGACACCAAGATAATATTTGTTTTATGAAATATGTGTTTGAGCTTGTCACTTACTCACTTACCAATATTATAGTATAGTATTAGCTTGGCTGTTTGTGAAGAGGAACATGGATTCAAGTTCATTCCAGAGTATTTTATTTGAAGGAGTAAATCAGGGGTCTCCAACATGTAGCTTGGAAGCCACCAGTAGCTTGCCACCCCCTTCCAGGCAGCTCGCCAGAAGATTTAGAAATGAACAGATCAAATAAATATACTTATTATTTCAGATTGTATTTTTCATTATATTATTGTAAATGTACTTACTTTGTGCACTAGTAACAAATATGCTATGGTAAATAATGACTGTACCCAATAGAAGGCTTGTTCTCACCAATCTATCACCACATTTTTAAAAGGAGTAGCTAGCTGCCTTTATCATCCTGGAAAAGTAGCTCGTCGTGTGAAAAAGGTTGGAGACACCTGGAGTAAATTCTTCTAATCCAGAGGTCTTTTGGCCATTTCAAGTTTTTGTTTGGTCTGTAGCCTGTTGTAGAATTAAAATGTTGTATACTAATGATTTTAAGTAGGTGTATAACATGTCTTTGTGCAATATTAAGCCTGGATTTAGTGGAATTCAGACAAGCACCAAGGACAAGGCTTCTGTGTTAAAAGTATCGTTTTCAGGAACAGCGTGTCTCTCTTATTGGGACAAGGCCTGAGACACAAAACTGGACTAGGCCAGACTGGGACCAGCCTCAGACCATATGACGTCATCGGACATTCTGATAAAACTGTTGGGAGGACACATTGTGGGCAGTCTGAGCACAGGGATAGATTTAGGGAATAATTAGGTCCAAGAGTTTTGTATCAACATTTAATTGTAAAGAGAAATAAATGTTCTATTGTAACTCTTAAAATCTTGGCCTTATTTCTGTACCAAATTCTGAACACGTCATCCATCCATCCATTTTCTACCCTTTAATCCATTTCTGGGTCAGGGGGGTGGCAGTCAGAGATGCCACCCAAGTCTCATAGCACCAGCCCCTCACTGACCCTCTGCAGGTGGTGAGTCCACAGGAGGACGGCTGCTCTCTGAGTGTGAGCATAGCCTTGATCTTTCAGTGGGGGCTTTTGGGCAAAGTGGGGTTAAGTGTCTTGCCCAAGGACACAACAACAGCAGTCATCAGTGGGAATCGATGGAGAAGGTGCAGAGGTGGGAATTGAACCCATGACCTCCTGGCCTTAAGGCCAATGCTCTACCAACTGAGCTACTGTCGCCCCTGAACACGTCAGTCAAATCATTTTTGACAACAAGCCATAAGATCAGACAAGGTTTCTTTTGTGTCATATAATTCCATGGGGACTGGGCACTTTTGTGCAGGACACAAACTCCAAATATAATTTTAAAGTGTTTTTGGTGAATAGTGTGTCACCTCTGGAGCCCCGGCCACATGCAGCTGCAGCATGCCTTTGCGATCCTTCTCCTCTAAAGGCGAGTACTGGATGGACTGGACCTGGGTGAAGTTGGCTAAGTGAGTCGGCTGCAAACACAACACAGAACAGGGAGGTATTATGTTGTTAAAGGGTTTCTGAAAGTGTTCAAAAGTATTAATGCTGATCCTGTGTGAGGAGCACAACACAACTCTATGGAGAAGCACATATTCGATAGAAATGTTGAAAAAGAAAAAAGTCCAAATGTTGTCCCACATCGTTATTTGAAAGATTAACACATTATTCTTCACGAGACCAGAGAAAGCCCATAATGAGACCAGAGTGAGACTAGAGAGAGACTAGAGAGAGACCAGAGTGAGACCAGAGAGAGACCAGAGAGAGACCAGAGTGAGACCAGAGAGAGACCAGAGAGAGACCAGAGAGAGACCAGAGTGAGACCAGAGACAGACCAGAGTGAGACCAGAGTGAGACCAGAGACAGACCAGAGACAGACCAGAGTGAGACCAGAGAGAGACCAGAGAGAGACCAGAGTGAGACCAGAGACAGACCAGAGAGAGACCAGAGTGAGACCAGAGACAGACCAGAGAGAGACCAGAGAGAGACCAGAGAGACCAGAGAGAGACCAGAGTGAGACCAGAGACAGACCAGAGTGAGACTAGAGAGAGACTAGAGAGAGACCAGAGTGAGACCAGAGTGAGACCAGAGACAGACCAGAGAGAGACCAGAGAGAGACCAGAGTGAGACCAGAGACAGACCAGAGTGAGACCAGAGTGAGACCAGAGTGAGACCAGAGTGAGACCAGAGTGAGACCAGAAGGGGCCAGAGTGAACAGACAACAGAGAAATGAGCTCTAAACTAAGTTCCACAATCTTGCTTTTATACACTGTCATTATGATAATATAGTTGCCACAAACCAAATAGATGAGGACATTTAATGAAACTAAACAGTTACAAGATACATACAGAGACAACAAAAAAGTAAACCAGAAACACGCAAACACACACACAGACACAGACCTGAGAGATTAAGAGAGATGTGTTTCCGTACCGTGGAGCCCTTGTCGGCGAGGTAGCTGATTCCTTCTTCAGGTCCGATGGCCAGTTCCACAGAAATGACCCAACTGGACTGAGAGGAGGAGCACAACAACCGTCAGAATTCCAGTATAATGTGAATATTTAATGATGAGTGATTTCTCATCAGGTGTAGTTAACTATGTATTTATTTAAGTTATGGACATGACAATACACCACATTTCTAATAAAAGTAGTCCTGTCACACAACTGAAAAAGAGCAGAAAGAAGAAAAAAATTGTATGTTGCCTGTTAAAGGAAACATTGTGATAATTTTTTTGTAAATTATTCAATTCTCCATATTTTTTATCAATCCTTTGACATCATTTCATTGTTGTTGCTTTGATTTTTTGGATGTTTGTAGAACGTTTTTATTTAAAGGGGCAGTATGTAAAAATCTGGCCAAACGTGGTACTGCAACCGCTCCCACTCTCCCTGGCTCAGATTGCCAGATATGCATCCGGCTAGGAACATAATATCAGAATAGACAAGAGTTTTGTCAACAACAAATCTATAACCAACACATTTTTCCTAATAGAAATCCCGGTTTAATTCCTTGTTTTGTCATCAATGATTTGAGAATCCTAACAAGACCTTTTTATGGTTTTGCGCCCAGATGTTACTTTACCAGTGAGATTAGCTCGACCCAATGAGTTCTGGCGCCCGGATCACATACTTTCTGATTGGTAAAACAGTGGAGGGCGGGACATCGAAATTAAAACAATAACACAATCTACGGGGAGTAAAACTAATTTTGAAATCCAAATATCTTGGCTGAAGATAGAATATCAGTTGAAGAAGAATTAGAAAAGGCCATGGTTTATTAATACCTTTGACGGATTAGGGCCATTTAATGATGAACTGACATGAAAATCTTACATATGGCTACTTTGATTTTTGAGGAGACTCATTTTAACTCTAGCCATTGACAATCCCATGTGTTTTTGGGTTGTTCTGACAAAAGTGACAGAGAAGTGTATCTTCCTTCTTTTTCTTCCGTGTAAATTTCTCCTGTGTGAGATCGATAAAGTCTATCTTATCTTATCTTCTGCCCTCCTGGTTGGATGTGAGTGAGAAAAGCTGCTAACAGAGAGAATCGGGAGAGAGTGGACCTACCCCTAAAGCACACTTGAAGCACTCTTTGTCAAAGCGACAGATGGGAGTGAGGATCTCAAAGAACTTGTGGATGCTCTGCTCGTCGTTGAAGTTTGCGAACTGCTTGAACGTCTGCTGGATCTGCTTACGAAGAGTTTTAGCCTGCGCAGAAAGACAAGAGACATCGGATCTGAAGCAAAGTCAAGTCAAGCTTTACGAGACATAAAACAGATATTGCAAGTCCAGTGTCCGGAAAGTACTTTTTTATGGATCGATTTCTTACAGAGACGCTTTCCAAGGTCATGTAATATTGATACCACGGTGGTAAGATTTAATGTCACCATAACAGCCCTGAGGCAGACTGAGAGACGCAGGGCAGCAGCGCAGGAGGCACCACCATCACCTTCACACCAGACTCACACTGGACCATGTGGGGGAAGTGTGTTGCCAAAGAGCAGTTGAAGCCCCAGGTCTCCAAGATGTTTGCCCCTTCAAATCAATGGCCTGTGCTCATTGGTTCATGCTCGACCATTGGCGAGATAAAGATAAGCGCAAGTGACGTGTTCTGGGCAGCTCTGGTCCTCCCCATTGGATGCGGTAGGTGCAGTGGTTCTACCTTCACAGGACCAGAGTGAAAATGTGAGCTTTCTGGCCAATCAGAGCGCAGCTGATCAGAGCGTGATGATTATTATGTTGCAGCTGTCAGTTGTCTGTCAAAACTGTTTGGTCGGGATCCGGATTAAAAAAATAATAGCTCCCTCGAGGGCGAAAGGTGTTTGAAGCTCACCTTTGCACCTGTGAATATTTGTACATACATTTGATACTTTATGAAGGTATTCAAACAAAAGAAAAAGGTATATTTTTCAGAATGAAACTAGTTCTGTTATTCAGTTATTGTATGTTTGGCGTAGGTTTTCTCCGGGCGCTCCGCTTTCCCCTTGCACTGAAAACGTGCACAATAGGTCTGAATGTAATGAGTGAGTGAATGGTGTTGGTTGGAGGCTTTGATGCATCATTATCAGTGTGGTCAACGTCTCACTTCCGCCATCACCGTATGGAGAGAATGAAAAAATATCTGGGTGACCTTGGTCTGTAAAATGCGCTATATAAATAAACCTTCCTTACTTACTTACATATTAACCATAATACTCTTAATTAGCTTTGTGTTTGACTATAGAAGTTGTAGATTTTGAAAAGGCCTTTGCACACTGGAGTGTTCATCTGCATTAAGGCTCACACTAAGGTGACGTCAGCACTGTCCACGCCTGATCTACGGTCTGTGGACAGCAGTGATGTCATTCAAACACAAGGCTCAGCGAGTCCTCATCGATCCTGTCCCACATCACAGTAAAGCTCTTCACTGACAGCTCAGGGACAGAGTCCAGGCTCCTGTCATCAGGAAGTCGGACTTGTGGACAGAGTGAAGCCTCTCTCATCAGAGCTGAAAAATCCAGTATCACTGTATCCACTCCGCCTTCTGTCAATGATGGATGGAACATTTTTGGGGCTCAGTAATTATTATGAGCCACAACAAGTTTCAAATCGGCTTATTCCACATTTAACAGTTGAGAAATTGCTATTTCTCTCATTTACAATTCAGCAGATGGTGCACCATGCATGCTGTGAGATGGTTATGTCAAAATGTTAGCCATTTTGTATTGTTAAATTGAAACCTTTTACCACCCACAAAAAGTTCTCTATTTTTGTGAAAGCTGGGGTATGTAACTTTCAAACAACAATAAATGGAACTGCTGTAGTAAAGTCCACATGACTAGTTCCTGGCTCTAGAATCAGTTGCTTCTTCTAGTTTTAATATTAAGGTGTTTTTGGCCTCTGTCACATCTTTAGATCAACTTTTTCAGACAGATAAGTGAAAAAGAGAGGACCACCCTTTTTCAGCCAATCAGCTCTCAGTGAGACAAATTGTTAGTAAGTACTTAGTTAGTTAATACTTAGCTTACCTTCAGAGAGTCCAGGAGGCTCTTGGGGAAAAACCGTCGTAGACCCACATCCTTCCTATGAACAAAGACCAGAGTTACAGCTAAAAACCACTGAAAAAAAATTATTTAAGATTGATTGAGTTGAAAATGCCTCTTACTCTAGCAGCTCGTAATTCGATTTTTTGTCCAGAGCGTTCCCGGGCATTTCTCTAAAAAATCTCCTGAAAAAGAAGAGCCTTCATTGAAATAATATTGTGCAATGTGTTCAAGAAAAAGTATGCTTTATATCTGTCCCTGACACATAATAATGACACAATTTACATTTGCATTTTAGAATCAATTATTATATGGAGAGTGCAGATGTATGATAATAAACCAGAGGTGACAAAGATGATCAATGCTAACCCACTAGCTCAAGGAAGTCCAATAGGGAAGTGCTCATGGACAAAGTTTTGCTCCAACGTGGCTCTTATTGACTAACATTGAAGAGTAAACTCCTCAAGTTCAGTAACTGCTTAAAAAATGTGTGGTTTAGCGCCTTCTGTGATCCTTGTGCTTATATTTTGAAATTATCCTTGTAAATACAAATAGATTAAAATTAGCTTTAAAATGAGGCGCCCCCTGTAGTACCTTCACCTACCCCTAGATGTCTGTATACCCCTGGCTGGAAGTTTGGTTTAGCCCATTCCACCACACTGCTCCTCTCATCTGCATCAGTCTTAATCAAAAATGCAGGACCACTTGAAAAATCTGTGTTCGCCTGGTTGGATCTTAACAAGGTTCAAGTATAGCTTTATTATGCCAAGAGGAGGAATAAGAGATGACAACAAAACTGCAGCAAGTCCCGGATATTAGAGATAGAAGCTAAAACCGTAAAGCATATGTTTGGAAGGGACTGACTGAGTGTGACATCACCATAGTGTCAGCGTCAATGCAGAAGAGGCCGATTTGAACATAAGCTAGCTGAGCCCAATTTTATTATATGCGCATTTCTTCAACAGCATTAGCTTCATGTCGTAACAGGGGCAGATGTGTTGCTAAGACGGTTGCTAAGGCAGGCAGGAGTATCCAGAGTGGCTCTTTCGCTGCAATCTATTGACAGTCAGCCCTTGATCCTCGGCCGGCCTCTGGGTCCTTCCTCCCTTCTGGGAAGATGTAGTTCCAGGCATAGGGCAGATGGGAGGCCTGCTGTGGGCTTAGAGTCAGGCCGGCAGCCTAAAGCCTAGCGTACATCGGACTGGCAACTGATTATATCCGTCGCCTCTGAGTTGCTGCCCCGCACACATCGACAATCTGGCGAAAACGGGCAACTCTGAGTCGCAGGCCAGTCTCTTGAATAACAGCGCGTACATCGACAGCAACTGGCCTCAACCACAGTGTGTTTTCTGACATAAACTGTTGCGGGCGCAATACACGCAATACACACACGTTGTCGGAGCGGCGCATGGAGCGCGCACATCGGAGCAACTGAGGACAACTAGTTGCCGAAAAGTAGAACACGGGCAACTGACTGGAACTGGAGACCGACTGATCATCTCCAGTTGTAAGAGCGCGCACATCGACCGATTTCGGCAACTGATCATCTCCATCATCTACTCTCAGTTGCCAAAAGCCGCCTTGCAACTAGTTGTCCCCAGTTTCTCTGTCGATGTACGCTAGGCATAACAGCAGCCAAACTCAGAGTCAGGGCCAATGAAGTGAATGAAGGCCAATCTGTAAATGGCTCATATCTGCATTTACAAAGACAATATCAAAATATAAATGTGTAAATTTTGAGTTTGAGATAAGTTTTCATGTCTTAATTGTCCTAATGTTTGTCAAGTTTCCTGTTATTTTTTCCAGATTTTATTTTGTATTTGTGCCTTTAGTAGTAGTAATCTTTATTTATATACCGCCTTTTCACTGCAGATCTGAGTCTCAAAGCGGTTTACAATTGTTAATTTTTGGGCATTTGTCTCTCACTCCACACAGAGATGGGAGCGGGGTCGCCAGTACAGGAGGCACATGCTAGAACTATTGGACATATTTTTTGTGGTAGGGGAAACCGGAGTACCCGGAGGAAACCTACGCAGACACGGGGAGAACATGCAAACTCCACTCAGAAAGGCCCTGGTCCGACTGGAATTCGAACCCAGGACCTTCTTGCTGAGAGGCAAGAGTGCTATCCACTCAGCCACCGTGCCGCCCCGTAGCTAGCGGTGGCTTTTTCACTCTTACAACTTGATTGCATCTTGAGCTAAAGCAAATTCGCGTTTGTGTCTTTCGTGTTACAAACAATGGCAATAAAAATAATCCTGGATCCATGTTTTTTGTGACACATAGGGTTAATGAGTTAGAGGAGTACACTTTTACATGTAAGTCAATAGGAGCCAGAGAGAGTTGGAGCAAAACTTAGTTAATGAGCACTTCCCTATTGGACTTCACCGAGCTTGCGGGTTAGCGGTTTCCATCTGTATACATGCTGTATACATGCTGAGGCACTTCATGCATAAAGAAGTGTAGAATAGAAGAGAGTACCTAATTTCTAAACAGCCTAATTTCAAAGCCACGTCTTGGTCCACTTGGTCAGCGATGTGCAGCATGTAGTCGCTCTTCACCTGAAACAGAAGAGAGTGAAAGGGTTTAGTTCTGAGAGGAAGGACAAGTGAATTCTTTGTTTTTTTTTTATTTATTTTTTTACTTTATTACATTTTAATACAATTACAAGAATGAAAACATAAAAGAAAGAATTAAAACAAAATTATATTCGAAATCTAATATATACGGTTTACAAATACAGTAGGTGTTAAGGTGGGAGGGGTTGGGGGGGAGGGGGAGAGTAAAAAAAAATAAAATAAATTGTTGCGTTTTTTATTGTTTCAGTTCTGCCTTGGTTTGCGGAGTTTCTGTATATGTATGTGAATGTGTATGCAATGCAGGGGTGCATAGGTGCTATGTCGAATGTGGTCAAATGAGTCTATATATTTTACAAAAAAAAAAAAAAAAAGGGTTTATATATATATATACATCATCATCATCGCTATCACTATTATCATCGTCATTGCCACAATCATTACCCATTGCTAATTTTATCTTGCCGAGTTTTGGTGAAAAATAATAATAGTAGAATAAATGACAATAATAATAAATAAATAACTAATATTAACAAAAATAAACAAACAAATAATAATAAGAATGAAAAGCAGAGCGTGATGCGAGACGGGCCCTGCTTAGGACAAGTGAATCCTTACAACGCCTTCTTTCCTCTCAAAAACGGCTTCAGTCCAAAAGTTGGCTCTTGGCTCAATGCTATGTCCAGATGCTGTCAATGCTGAGGGGAGTATCTTTTTCGGACCAGCTGAGTTTAGCCGCTGTGGACTTTTGAATGCACTCGTCAAATGAATGGGGCTCGTTCCGGCTAACTCACGCGCAAATGTGTTTTTTCGCATTTTCCTGCTGAAGGGGCCACACGCTGCCATTTTGAAAAAGATAACAGGAGGAAAACGTGGTGACAGATACGTTTTGCACACCGGATATAGGCGTCACTACGTCCGTTAATGTTTACAGCCTATGGGAAGGACTGATGAACGAGTAACGAGTTTGAAAACAGAGCTGAGTGACAGAGGGAGCGGGGGGACAGCTTCAGTTGAGCTTACCTGGTGGTAGAGGTAGTTGAGGGAGGGTTTGTCTTCAGAGAAGTGACTGAGGTAACCTTTGGGGAAGTATCTCATCCGCAGCTCGTACCTGCAGAAGGAGAATATTTATTTATATAGCACATTGCACACAGGAAACTGGAACTCACTTCACGTACATCGTTTCCTAATACAAATATATTTTGCTTAGTCGCTTTATTTTGCCTTAAAGATGCTAAACCGGATTTTTTTTTATGAGTTCATAAAAATGCTTATTACTACATACGACTTGTATTATAATCCGTAATTTAATTGAAAACTTAAAGACCTTATGACGGGTTTTTAAAAAAAAAATAGTGGATATCAAAATTGCATGACAATGTCAATTTGAAAGAGATTCCGGCAAAAAAAATCCTATATTTTATAAAAAGAACGTGTTTTTCATGAATTTAAGTTGTCTATGCTCTAACCTGTGTGTGACGTCACAGCGGGTAACGCCCATGCATTGAAAACCATGGATCTATGCCACAGGACTGCCTTTTCTCTCTTCTCTCCACTGATGCCCAGCACAATACTGCCCTCTACAGGTGACAATTGCTCATTACACATAAATTGCCGTTTTGAGTGTGAAAAAATGTCCTAGGTGGGATTTGAACCCCAGTATCTGGATTGGCAGTCCATCGACAGAACCACTGGACTATCTCAGTGACAACGAAATGATACATTCTAGTAGTTATCTCATACTCGCTGTACACAGCCTTGTCATCTTGAATATCCGCGAAAAAAGAACGAATACCAAATTGTAAACAACTTACAGCATTGAAACGTACCCGTTCTGACGTCACCAAGGGCTGTGAAGTTTTTTCGTTTCTAAGGGCGTTGCTATGGGGTTATTTCGATTTGGGGGGATCAGACAAAAAAAACAACAACTGATTTTGAAACCTTTAGTAGTTCTCTTCTAATATAAAATGGTATTAAAACTGTATTTCTAAATAAATCAAACCCGTCATAAGGTCTTTAAATTAAAGCAAAAAATTATCAAAGAAGAAACCAAGCCCGGGTGAACAGAGCTAGCATACATTGTGTCCTCTGGAGAGACTTGTCCTGCGGGATTACCTCGGACTATCTATGCTCGGACTACATTTGGACGCGAAACTAGTAGTATCCATCCATCCATCCATTTTCTACCCTTTAATCCATTTCTGGGTCAGGGGGGTGGCAGTCAGAGATGCCACCCAAGTCTCATAGCACCAGCCCCTCACTGACCCTCTGCAGGTGGTGAGTCCACAGGAGCTGAGATCTTCCAGTGGGGGCTTTGGGCAAAGTGTGGTTAAGTGTCTTGCCCAAGGACACAACGACAGCAGTCATCAGTGGGAGTCGGTGGAGAAGGTGTAGAGGTGGGAATTGAACCCACGACCTTCTGGCCTTAAGGCCAACTGAGCTACTGTCGCCCCCGAAACTAGTAGTAATCTTTCAGTTACATATTTTGTTAGCAGTGCGTTGCTTTTGTACCATTTCAGATTCAGATTATTTGCCATTTGCAGTAAAAAAAAACACATTGGAATACATTAGCAAAAAGTCTCCAGTGTGCACAGACAAATAAAGACATAACACAACATCTTAGATACAGACACACTCTGACTACCGCCCCCTAGTGGCTGGATATGGGTCAGCGCACACCGCTACAGAAGGGAGAGGTTTCAGCGCATAACAAAAGAAAATCAAGGCTCAAAACACAATTAATAAAACATCTCCCATCTATAATGAACGAGGAGTGAAGAGAAGCAGCCGTGTGCGAGAAAGAGCAAGCAGAGATCAAAGAAAAGCGGGGCGTGATAGGCCAGCAGATGTTTGGCTTAAGCAGGTATTTGTGAAGAAGATACGTTTTCTTAGTTTAATTATACATGTAACAAACTTCTGTATTCGGCCCCATAAATCTATTATAATATATGGGTAGAGTTTTGCTAGCTTAAAGGCACACCGTGTAACTCTTGGCCACTAGGGGCGCTAGACCTGCAACTTTCACGTTTAGCGCCCCTAGTGGCCACAAGCAACTCAGCACTGTCGCAAAAGTCAACAAACAGTCAGCCGGTGTCTTTTGAGTGTGTATTCAGACAGCATGCACTGGTGTGTGTGTTCAAACTGTAGAGACATGCCTACAGATATTGAGAGACTCTGCTGTGGTCAGCCTCCAGACCGCTGCATTAGTAATCTACCACACATGGACTTCTATATCCTGGATGAGGGAGTTCTGCGTCTAGCTCGTGCTGCGTGGAATGACATCTTTGCAGTCGATGACATCCAGGAACCAGGTGAAGAGCAGCGCTCATACAGACATGGAGCTTACAGCACGATCCCTTTCGCGTTTCCTCTTTTTAGCCTCCTCCGAAGGTTTAAAATTTTTCCTTGCCTCAGCCATGACCAGGAGTCGAGCAGGTGAAAAATGAGTAGCAAAAGCCTTAGCTCCATGAGTATATTAGCGCCTGTAGCCGTAAAGCAAGTCTTTCTTCCAAGTCATGTGACCTGGTGGCAGACGGTCCGTCTGCTCGAAACTTACATGGGCGGTATTTCAAGAGGGCAGCCCCGCTCGGAGCATTGCAAGTGTCAAGCGCTGTATATTGGCCCAAGTATTCATATAAAATAACTCATATGTGTCAACTCTTTAGGTCACAAAGTCCGCGGTGTGCCTTTAACAGGTGGGGGGGTTGACCTAACTTTATTTTCCATGGATGGTATATTTATTTCAAACAGAAAAGTAAAATGTGAACAAATCAGACCACAAAATACTGTCTTCAACCTTTTTTGTGTAAGAAAGAGCCCTGTGAGTCCCTGATGTAAAGACGTGGCTGAGGCAAAATGTTTTAGAGCCAGGGACTAGTGACATGGATTTTAGTACAGCTATTTTTGTGGTTGTAAAGGTAGGTACCAAAGCTTAAATCTTCTGTGGCTAACTTTTTGAAAACTGGCCCATCTTGCTTCAATCCCACCATATCGGTAAAACAGGACATTTTTGTTTGTTTGTTAAGGACATAAAAATTGTCAATTTCAACCATTTAAATGTACTATTCTATTATGATTGGGCTAATATTCTGACATAGATGTATTCAGGACAAAGTCTCCATCTCTGAAAAAAAATTGTTTTCCAAAGGGCCATTTCAATCTCCGCTTAGACGGAGACGCTGCAGACACGCTGCGACCAGGCTCCTGCAGAGCGTTTAGATGGATACTGAAAACAATCCACTACTAGCGCCGCCCAGTAGTGGGCAGTGGAACTTTATAGCGTGACCCCCAGCAGTTAACCAATTCCTTAACAACATCCTCCTCAGGCCACTGCAAAGTGGGGAAAGAATGCACCAACATCATTCTGCATTTAAAAGCAGCAAGCTGCATAAATGGAAACTGAAACTACAGCTTTGCGTGGTTTTGTTTGGACGAACAAAGGAGTAGAATTCTCCTCGAAGCACACGACACACAACCTCACTTCACCTGCCGCCATTGTAGTTTACATTTGTTCTTGGCTACGCGCATGTCCAAATGTACGAAGGGGAAATAGTGAGGTAATTGTAGCAGAGAATTCACACCTTATTCTACACATGTGTAGAATGTAGCTGTGAAACAGCCCCCGCTGAGCAGCGTATCTGAGCTTTTCTGGAGGCTGTTTCTCAACGCTTGAACGGATGCGTGATCGGGGCCGAGCACTCTTAATTGGTACAAGCATCCCTCTAAAAACCTATAAAATAGATTTTCTAATAAACAATATTTGTAGATGAAACCATAGACTGTAGACGGAGTGGACCGAGTGCGTGCTGACGTCACAGTGTTTGCCTCTAGGCTTCATTGAGCGAGCTGCTACACTGTCCTTCTACAGTCTGTGGATGGAAGAGCACATTCTGACTCTGACTGAGGAAAACACTGTGCTTGAAATAAGACTAAAAGCTGCTTATCCTGTAATCTTGTTTTAAATCCAAGTGAAAAGTGCTTGATTGAAGCGTTCGCTCCCTGGTATTTGGTCACATTTAGCAGTGATGCAGCAGAAGTGCAGTAGTGTGTGTGTGTGTGTGTGTGTGTCGGAGTGTGAGTGTGTGTGTCTGTGTGTGGGAGTGTGTGTGTGGGAGTGTGTGTGTGTGAATAAGCAAAGAGCTCCAGAGTGTGTACATCAGTGCCTCCCAAGGGCCAGAGCAGAGCTAACAATAACCCTGCAGCAGCTCCAGGGGTTCAGGGCAAAGTGGAGGCTCTGTGTGAGAGCATAGAGCATATATTAGGCAAGGCAAGTTTAATTGTATAGCACAGTTCATACACAAGGCAAGTTAAAGTGCTTGACAAAACAACATAGAACAACCATACAAGGCCTTAAAATAACAAAGAATGACAGTACATTAATTAGAGTAAAGATTCAATCCTTCAGTTGTATGCACAGCTAGATAAGAAGGCTGTCTCACATTTACAGGAACACTGCTCCGGATTTTAGCTGCATGGACCTGAAAAGCTGCCTCCGTATGTTTAGTGCTGACTTAGAGGACATGGATCAAGGAAAGCGCAGAACCGCAGATTTTTTTGTAAAGCCCAAAACGGTGAGTGTGACACAAACGGTTGCTGAGCTAGTGGACTCAAAAGGAGCAAGAACTAATCGGTACAAAATTAGAATTTAACAAGAATAGCTAAACGTTATTGGCCTTTGACTGATATGTAGGTGAGGAAATTATATTAGTGCTTTGATGTTTTTTTCAGGATCAGGATTTCTTCATGAAGGTCCTGCATACATTATTAATACTTCATCGAATTAGTTATTTCACTAAGATGGTAGCAAAGGTAAGCTGAAGTCTCCCCCGCAAATTAAGGCATCTGATTGGTCAATCCTTCTGGCTCATATTATCACTAGGAGCACGAAACCACACTTTTTCTAAACTGACACAAACAATTACCAAGCTACAGCTAGAGCTTGCTTTTCAATGCAAGTTAATGAGCAAAACTTCATCTGTGAGCACTTCCTTGTTGGGTTAGCATTGTCCATCTGCATACAGTCTACGTGTGAGAGAGGCTCAGGACTCAGAGTGCAGGGAATGAGGCCTTTGTTTTCCTCACATTTCATCAGAGTGTGATGCAAACACTGGACTGCAGCCGTGACGCTGATGAGGAGCGATGAGCTGCAGAGAGAAGAGCTGTCGTCTCAAATATCAGTATGCCGCATTGTCATAAGAGCTCTGCATCACCGCGGCTACAACGGCCCAAGACCCAATGCATGCTCCACACTGTAAATGTAATGTATGAGGATGGTATTGTGCCCCCTGCTGGTCCCTGGAGATGTTATCGAATCGCTCTGAATCGTCCTGTTCGTCTGCTTGCATCAAAACCACCGAAGCCAATCACACGGCAGCACTCCTGTCCTCTGGTTGGTTCTTGTCTAATCCTGATGCTGGTTCAGTATCGGTTTCACAGAGATAAGGAGGGTAAGATTAGGTTTGTTTTTGTTCAAATAAATCCGTTGCAATGACGCAATCGTTACTGAACCAGTGTTTGGGAACTTCTGATGCACTGTAAAAATGGGGGAGCTTTGTTCACTTATCAGCCTGAAATCCAGACCGGAACAACAAATATGGCAACGCTGATGGATCATTATCGTCCGATCAGAAATATAGGAAAACAAATAAAACTTTACTCTACTTATTGCATCACCCCCCACAGTCTTTCCTACACCTCTTTATGTGACTTTGTTCTGGAGTTTATCAGGAGAATCCCTGTGGAGACTTGGATGTTTGTAAAGGACTTCTGGTCCAAAGGGTGAAGATGCAACAGCATCCTACCAGTATTTCCACCTGTCCACTTGACCACATTTGCAGTTTGTCACCTTAAGGAGAAGAGCTCAGAGCAACACTAGCCTTAAAGCGGCTCTGCTTGTGTACAAGTCTATCCATGGCCTCGCACAGAAGTAAAATTTTCTGCAGATGAAAATTTTCTGCAGATCCGCAAATTCCGACTTTTTCCTGCTGAAAATATTATTTCTGTGATATGTGTGACCGCGGGCTGTTGTTGGAATTACGTACTCGAACATTCACATCCTCCATTCTGACCTCAGGAGGCGCTTTGTAACGACAGCCGCTTTGACCACAGCTCAGCGAACGTGCAGCTGTAACGTGGTACCGCGGACCATAAACGCGCAGACAGAACCACAAATGCACGATCAGGACCATCCCCAGCTTGTTGCTCGTGCTGGTGCTGCCCGTGTTCCCCGTCTCTCCCCCATGTCTTCTCGTGTCTCCCCCATGTCTCCCCTTGTGCGCAGCCAAAACTCACTGAATTAAAGCTCGGGTACCTACATTTTTGCATGCATTAATAATGCATGTTAATGTGTGCACATTATTATTATTTTTTATTTTTGCTTATTTGTGAGTAACAGAGTCATGTGAGTCATTATTTGACTTTTTGGGCTGAGAGTGGATTTCTTTTAAATTTTTTCCCACAAAGTTAGAGTCACTTTATTGCCAAACTCGGACTCACTCACTGCGTTGCATAATATTTGTTAGTCTCACATTATTTTTGGATCTTTCCTGTGTGTAAGTTTTATTATTCTACTGAAGGTTTATAATAATACTGTCCATTCTTATTGAAAGCCACAAGTGTCAGCTCTCAAATTCTTTTGGAATAAGAGGCTACAGAGGCCGAGATAGCAATCATTTAGTACAATTTCAGGAAAACATCAGGTTTCAGAGGATGGTTCTAAAGTCGGCCATAGGTTTTACAGGTACGTTTCACCTGGTGTGTCAGGCTTTAATGGGTAAAGATTAATATAAAGATGAAGAAATCCTTTATTTGTCCCACCGTGGAGACATTTTAGATTATTCATATTATTAGATTAAGATTTACAATGTTATGAATCTATAACAAGGAGCCACATGGGGGCACTGTAGAGCTGTAGAGCCTACTGTAAGTGTACCTCCACTCCTCCTGGGGGTGCTGTCTCTCGTACTTCTCCCTCACGTGGGACACTCCCAGGTCGGGGTGCAGCCAGTGCAGAGCGTCCGAGTGCAGGTGAGTGAGGCGCAGGCCGAGGGACGAGACGCAGCGCAGTTTGTGGATCTCTGCCATCTTCTGGATCACCCCCTGGGAAGCAGCACACCAGAGCTGACTCACACAGGCTCCTTCAGATGTAGATAGATAGATAGAGAGTATATGTAGAAAGAGAGAGATATGTTTCTCTATATATAGAAACATACATAGATAGATAGATAAATAGAGACATAGAGAGATAGATGAGACATAGATAGGTATGGATAGAGACATCTCCTTATACATGTCTCTGGAGTTAACAGCAGCTGCGAAAACACCAGGATCATAGAGAGCGCTAATTTCAAAGCCCAAAATGGTGAGTGTGATACAAACAGTTACTGAGCTAGAAGAGTTTACTTTTACATGTAAGTAAATGAGCAAAACTTCATTCATTGAGCTAACGGATTAGCATGGTCCATCTGTATACAGTCTGTTAAAAAAAAACTCACCCTGACGTCCGTGGCGTCTCCGTGCCGGATGTTGCTGGCCCAGGTGCAGGGTTCGCTGTTTGTCTCAAAGTAGTGGAAGATCTTGAGCACTCGGTCCATGGATCCCGGGGGCCTCTCCAGAGCGCCCCCTGCAGTCAAGGAGCCTCCGGAGCGGACCTTCAGACCACTGCATCCCCCCGAGTGACTGAGGCCAGGATCCATGAAGGAGGAGGAGGCCATGGGGAAGTCGCGGGCTCCTGGGGGGGCTAGCTTGCTCTCATACTCTGCAGATCAGAGAACAGCACCAGGTCAGCTCTGCAGCGGTGTGTGTGAAGATTAAGAGATACTTTATTTGTCCTAGAGTGGGGAAATTTCAGTGTTGCATCACAAGAAAAAGACAGTAGGAATGTGCTTGTTTAGTCCTGGTTTAGAACTAAACCAGGATTAAACCAGGACAAATTCAGGTATTAAAGCTGAGACTAATTCAGGTATAAAAGCTGAGACTAAAGTAGGTCTAAAGAAGGATTAAAGATGGATTAAAGAAAGACTAAAGCCAGACTGATTCAGAACAGCAGGGATAAAGCCAGAATAAAGCGGAACTAAATTGACTCAAGCTAAATCATGTCTAAATTAGGTCTAAAATATAAATTAACAATATTCAAAGTCTACCATTTATACTGTAAAAGGTAAAGAACATGTAAAGCCGAGTACACAACTTTCAAACCACAAATAATGTATGCAATAAAATCCACGTCTCTTGTTCCTGGCTCTAAAAACAGTCTCTCACTAGTTTTCACACATGTCTATTAAACCTCTGTCACATCTTTAGATCAGCTTATTCAGGCAGAAAAGATAAACAAAAGAGAGGACCCTCACTCAGCCAATCAGCTCTCAGCCCAAAGAGTCAAATAGTGACAGAGCTCTTTCTTATACATGTTTTCTACTAAGATGAAGATAGAATGTTGTGGTGCTTCTCTCAGGGGAAACTACAAGAAAGTTAGGTACCCCAGCTTTAAAAATAGACATTTTTTAGAGCACTCAGATAATTGTCTAATGACTGAATGAAAATGTGTTATCAAAGTATTTTAATCAAACAGCCCACTGTGTAACGAGTCCCTCTGAGTGGCATCTGCTCTCACTACACTCAATCATAATGAAAGCAAAACCATCAGTCTCTAGATGTGCGACGCCTGTGAAGACATATCCAAAACCATGTCTCGTTTTTCACTTCAGTCTGTTGCTCTCTTCTGATTTCTTTGTTTGTGGTCGTAACTTGACAAAATGTGCAAAAGTATCAGTACGTTTGTATGAGTACTTTTGCAAACCACTGTTTTAACCATTGTTACATGGACTGTATGAAGACAGCATGTTTTTGTCTGATCAGTGCACAACATTTGGCTCATTCTGTGGGACAAACTACAAGTGAACTGTCTTTTTTCAGGCCTTTATTTGAAAACAGAAGTATCCATGGAATAAGAGCTTATTCCTCTTGCGCAGGGGAGTGAGAGTGGGAGGAGTTATTGAATGGCTGAAGTTTCAGCAGCGGAGCCACCGTCAGCTCCTTCTCTTTGCTAATCTGATTATGGGAATGCGCTGAAATTTTGTAATGCACCAGTCACAGCTCACAACAACATCCCTCATGTAACATAGCATGAATACTTCGCAAGGCTTTGGGAAATCGCATTAGAGCAGCCAATGTGTATGGAGCCAGTTTTAAAATCATACAATTCACAAGGAGTATGAATGAATGAACGTGGTAGGATTTTTTTTCAGCTGAAAAACTCAAAATGTTTTCCCAGTTCATTATTTGATAGAGATTGGATTCACAAAGCTGGCACATTATTATTTATGTTAGACCAGAAAAAGAGAGAAGAGGTAGACCAGAAAAAGACCAGAGAAAGTCAAGAGAAAAACCTGAGAGTGACAAGAGACCAGAGAGAGACCAAAAAGAGACCAAAGTGAGACCAGAGAGAGACCAAAAAGAGACCAAAGTGAGACCAGAGAGAGACCAAAGAGAGACCAAAGTGAGACCAGAGAGAGAGACCAAAGAGAGACCAAAGTGAGACCAGAGAGAGAGACCAAAGAGAGACCAAAGTGAGACCAGAGAGAGACCAAAGAGAGACCAAAGTGAGACCAGAGAGAGACCAAAGAGAGACCAAAGTGAGACCAGAGAGAGAGACCAAAGAGAGACCAAAGTGAGACCAGAGAGAGAGACCAAAGAGAGACCAAAGTGAGACCAGAGAGAGACCAAAGAGAGACCAAAGAGAGACCAAAGTGAGACCAGAGAGAGACCAAAGAGAGACCAAAATGAGACCCGAGAGATACCAGATAGAGAGAAATGTTACACAAGAGAGATAGACCAGAGAGAGAGACCAGAGAGAGACCAGAAAGAGAGACCAGAATGAGAAACCAGAAAGACCAGAGCGAGATCAGAGCGAGAGAACCAGATCTGGACATCTTTACAGCAATGTGTCTATTGTACAAGGTTTACATCAAACATCTCTCTGCAGCCGGTGTCCAGCCTTTATACACCGCTGTAGATGAAGAGACTGAAAGAGGATGTGGGTTTTCTAATTCAAGTTTAATGGTCTATGTCTTAATGTCGTCTACTCTAGTCATCTACTCTTGTATAAACCATTCACACACTCAAACCATTGGAACGGCTACAAAAAGTGACTACCAAAACACCCCGCTCCCCAAGTGTCCCATCCCAGCCAGGTACATCTTTACAGCTGTGTTTCCGCATCCTTTTCCAGTTTCTTTGGTATGGTATAGTTTTTTTTTTTTTACAGGGACAGTGTAAGCCAAAAGGTTGTAGCAGCAGTGCTAATTTACACCTGTAGTCCCTGAGCAGGTTGTTGTAAAACAGTAAAATAAAAGAAGATGAATACATTACCATAAATTATCAGACAGAATTTACAATGTAATCTACCAAATGTTATAATAAAATAAAACCACCCAGCCCCCATTCTTTACTTTCATACATTCCTATACTGAACACACGCACGCACGCACGCACACGCACACGCACACGCACACACGTCTTGGCCATAGTAGAGTTTGGAGTGTGACTGTTTGAGGTTGTGGACAGATGTATTTTGTATGGATAACGGGTTCAAGCGGGTGCCATTAAAACAGGTAACAGGTGGAGGTACAGCCAGACATCTTACTCATTTGTACGTGACCATGTGATTTTCTGGATTTTTTTATTCTCATTCAGTCTCTTATAGTTGAGGTATACCATGATGGAATTTACAGGCAACTCATTTTTTTAAGGGAAAGAACTTCAGCACAATTGGTGGCTGACTAAATACTTTTTTCTCCCACTGTAAGCAACATAATTCCTGTGTTTTTGCGCAGTGGGAATGAGGCTTTGCTCTGCTAAAGAAGCTCTGGAGCCGCACTGATGCAGCCCAAAACAGGCCAGTGATAGACCCTCAGTTTAGCTGAAGTAGGCCACAGATCACAGCTGAGCCCAGAGTCCCCTCACAGCGGGGATCTGGTATCTGACAGAGGACCAGTGTAACACCAGCTCTGCGCTGCTGGTATCTGGGTTACTGTGGAAGCAGCTCTACCCTGGAGGACCACAGCTTTAATACTTCTCTTTCTTCAGTGCACAGTAACAGGCTTTTGTCCATTATCATCAGAGTTTGTGTGTATTTGTCTTTTCTCAGACCAACTCCCTGTACTCAAAACATCAACAGTTAATATCTATGAATATCTTAAAGGAGACGCATCATTCGTTACAGGCCGAGTACATGAGAGAATATGGACATTAGGATCATAGAGCGAAAATCCAGAATTAATCCAAAATATTGAGTGCGACAAAAACAGTCACTGAACTAGAGGAGATTATGTTTTACGGTAAGTCAGTAGAAGCCGGGGGCGAATTGGAGCAAATTTTGTCCATGACCACTTTCCTTTTGGGCTTCAATGAGCTAGTGGGTTAGCATTCTCTATCTATATACAGTCTAGACCAGGGGTCGGGAACCCAAAATGTTCAAAGAGCCATAATTGACAAAAAAACTAAAAACAACATCTGTCTGGAGCCGCAAAAAAATAACAGCCTTGTATAAGGCTGTTATGAAGTTAACACAGGCTGCAAGATGTATTAGCTATATTAGCCTAATATCTAAATGACAAAGTAAAGGCTACAAATACATAATAATCATTCATGATTATCAAATGTATATTTTCACTGCAGCGTGTCGCACCACGCGTGTCGTGAATGACGCAACACGGGACAACTCTGCTTTAGTTTAACTTCCATTTTTTTGCCTTTATGCAATTGTAGAAATACAGAAAAATCAATCTGCTTTTGGCTCAGAGGTCACATACCTGCATCACTGTCTGTTCATATCCATCACGTCACAGGCTGAAGTTTGCTGGAGCTGAATTAAAATCCTTAAAGGCGCTATACCCGTTTCTGCAATGTTTGAATGTTTAGCACCGCCCCCCAACTCGCTCACAGGCTTCTCATTTCCCCTGCGCTCTCATAACACAGAGCCACCTAGTTTTATTTGCAATCTGATACATATGCTAACATTAGCATTAGCGCAACTTCTTGTAAGCTGTGCAACAATCACTGATGAAATGGCACTAAAGCAACGCACTGCTAACACAATATATAAGTAAAAGAATACCGCTAGTTTCGCATCCGAATGTATTAATTTAAAACCTTAGAATATATTCTAATATTTAATTATAATTTGTTATAGAGCTCCTCAAAGCAGCAGCAGCAATTCTTCCGATCATTTTTTCTTGATAACAGAACTCTCAAACCAATAATGACCGAAGCCCCAATGCAACCTCTGTTTGTAATTCAGGTGTGTAAAATACTGCCATTACTTTGCAAGTACAACAAGCTACAGTATCAGTGCCTGTCACTACACACTTGTGTAGAGAAGCCAACGGAGCTAGCGGAGCTAGCCACGCTCAATAAACAACTACATATCTATCAATCAACACCATTAAACATCAATCGGACAATACAGTATACACATCCTTAACACACATGCACGGATGATTTCAGAATTTGCTGTTAACGTTTTCATGACAAAAATACTGTTAATGTGACAAAAAGCGATTGCGAAAAACCCGGAAGTTACCATGAAACAACTAGCTAGCTTAGCTGTTACCTGCCTAGCACGTCCCGGTGAAACCTTTGGGAGCTAACTATTTTATTTGCAGTCATTAAATACATTTCGAATTACAAGGGTTGTCTAATATTTGTTCACATTTTTTTATTCAATTATTTTGTTCATCATTTTTTATTTTAGAATTA